TACCTAGTGCGGGTAGTGGGCCAACATGTTTTATCTTATCTGGAGGAGAAACTCCTCGTTTGGAAGAGGGTCCTCTTTTTTCCATGAGACTAAATTTAAAAAGCAGCAGCTGTTTGCAGCTTTTCTGCAGTTCAGAATATTAAAATAAACCTTAAAAAAAAAAAGCACAGAGGTGATTAAGTATTTGGGGAAAAAAAAGAAACATTCATCGTACAGTTCAACACTTTAGCATGATAATCTCAAATTTGGGGTACAGTCACCCTCTCTCCCCCAGCCTAAGAGTAGCTACAGAATAGTCAGGCTGGCATTTACTTATTTATTTTTAAAACGAAGAGATGCAAAAATAAATAAGTAAAATGTAAGCTCAGCTACATTCATTTCCAGGACAGGACTGTGGTTATATAACAAAGCGCGCAAAACATTTGGATTTTTCCAAAATTCACCTTCCTCCTAAGCTGTTTGTTCCTTAGGCTAAGAACAAAATTGACGCTGAGTCTTTGCAGCCTGGAGAACCATTTACGCTCCTCTTCTTTGTGGCAAACTTTTCCATACTTGAAATAATTACCATGACTCCCCTCAATTATTTCTTCTCTACATTAAACAAACCCGTATCTTTTGATCTTTCCTCCCTATTCATGCTGGGACAACTTTTATGCAATGGTGCAAACCACTACATGTATTAAACATGTATTGCGAGCTCTAGGCTTTCCAGGGGCATTAACTTGCGGGGGGCAGGTGGGGCGAAAATACCTGGCACAGATTCCACAGAGCAACTCGATTTACCGTTCCCATAAGACTCCATACAAGGTGAAACATGCTTGATCGCATCTGGTCTGTTTCTACCACAGAACAGATTAAAAGTAAAAAAAAAAGAAAACAACATAGGCAAGGGGTATCAGCAAAAAACAACGTTAGAGATGTAGACTCCCTTTGTATCAGAACATATCCTCCAAAAGAGTTAAATGTTAATTGCCAAGTCCTCATTAAAACAAGTCTCACAGGAGAATGCTGTCGTCGCAGCATGTCTTCTCAGAATTAAGGAGCCCGGGATCCATCAAAAGCAGCATCAGTTTCATGCTTTACTCAGATCCAATGCTTCTGCCCCACTTTCCCAAAAGTAGGCACATAAACCCAGGTCTTACTGTGAACAGACACAGGCCCCTGGCACAGCAGCTTCCTCGCTGCCTCAAGGCTGATGCTTGGAAAAGAGAGGAGCGCATTTGGCAGGGGAAGAGGATTGGCACCTTGTGACTGAGCAAGGGCGGGGGAGCCTGCATGGGAAAGTTTAATATTAAAGAGGCACGGAAGCCTGTGAAGTCTAGGGGAGCCACATGAAAAGCAGGTGCCTGTCCGGGCACGCAGGCTATTGGAGAAAGGATGGGAGGCACGGCACCGCAATTACGCATCATCTTGTGACTGGTGTGAAGGCTGCCAGGAGCCAGCACGCTGCCGTACCAAGCTGATTGCTCTCTCAAGACAAGTTGCAGAGTGCTGAGCACCCAGGGCCGCAAAGGGAAAGCAAGCGAATCAGCAAGGGGCATGGCCGTCCCCAAGCAGTGGTGTAGTGCAGAATTCTGTCAGCATAAAGATGATGCACCGAGACAAAAGCAGAGATGCTCCTTTGTTTATAAACACACCAGAAACCACCAGGTTACTGTGGAAAGTCATTTTATTTCAGAATTTCACACACTCTGTCACAGACCATGCACTTAGACTTTCCCCTTTGCAAATCCACAGCCTCCAGGCCTGGGAAAGATGAGGCATCATCGCTTCAACTTCTCTCTGTGAGTACCCACATGCTAAGAGTGAGGGCCCTGATGGCAGCTCACCAGGAGGCAGAAAGCAGCCTCTTGTTTCCATAATTGCTTTTAAACACGGGAAAAGAAATCCATTTAACTTGAAGGATTAGCGGTGGAGCAGTGAAACCCCACAGCTGAGCAAGTTGGTCCTCACCCTGTGGTTACAGGGAATAAGATCATCTCGTGGGAAGCTCGTGTGAGCTAACCTATAGCAGAACACACTGAGTCATTCCTGGAGCCCAGGCAGCAACCAACCAAACGCACACTCTGGGCCTCTTACAATCAATTCGTCTCTGAGCCGCTCTGCCAGGAAGATGGCTGGGAGCTGCCCTTTTCACATTCAGCTTTAAGTCCTCCTGCTCTGTGCTACAGCTTTGACTAGGAAGGAGCCTACCTATAGGGAAAGCAGCCCTCCGGGCTGTACATCAACACGTGCACTGCAGTTAATACTGAAAGGTGCCAGTTTGAAAGACTCTGCAACAGTATGCTTGACCCACAGGCTGGGTGCAGTGCTACTGTAAGTTTCCTCCATGCCTACTTTACCCCTCCTTCCCTGCCTCTGTTGCCCCTTATGCCTGACCCTGCTCTTGAAATACTCCTAGTTGCAGCGTCCCTGCGACCTATTACATCTTTGGCCTTTGCTGAGACTGCCACTGCCAGGGCAGCTATTGCCCACTGTGGTGGCCGCCTGTAGGAAGTGTGCATTTGCCTCCCGAGAACGGGCTTGTGGCTAGCTCACAGAAGGACAAAACTGAAGGGATAGAAGTGATTCAAGTGAAGTGGAGCAAAGTCTACAGACAAGGCAAAAAGGCAGCTTCAGTCTCCATTTGATACACAAACTGAGCTCAATAGCAGCAAGAAATGGCCATAAAATATTAATTCAGTAGGTTGCCAGGAAGAAGTAAAAGCATTCGTGTGAAAAATTCTATATACAGATATGTATGTGGCAACTGTTCTCAAGCCAGCTCAGACTGGCTTCCTCCTGTTTATGTCTCACCTTTCCTTGTATCTATAGTTTTGATCATTCCAAACCATGTTGCCGTGCAATTCTGTGTGAAGACCATGGTATTGGAGTCAGCACCAAGTAAGGGGTGAGATCACACTGGAAAAATGAACTTACAGGGAACTCCTGACAACCCAGATATTTTAATATTTTTGTTGACCTTCAAGTAATTAAAAGAATGGGGAATTTCCCCCAGTTGCCTATAGGCTCCAAGTCTCATCTGTCTGCTTTTAGGGTAAGGGAGGCTGACATCAGAAAGGCAGTGGAGGGCAGGAAGAGGGGGAAAAAAATCCAGGAACCAGAGTGAAGAGCAATCAACAGCTGACCAACACTGACTGCTGCAAAACTTACAAAACACAAAATCATACAATTTCTGTTAACCTTTTATAGACTACAGACTTTATATACACACACAAACTTCAAATTACGCATCTGGCAGTCTAGAAAATACCAGTACCCTAAGGATTAAATAATTTAAAATGTAACATTGTGTTACCACTGTATATGGACTACTATCTGACACATTGGCTAAAATGGACGGATTGTCCGAGAAAGATGTTCCCTCCCTCATCTCACCAGCACTGCCTCTAAAAAGAAAACAAGGGCTAAAGACTCCCCTCAGTGGTTCCATTCCTGAAACTCACCTTGAAATTTCTCTGTCAAAGGGGGGGGGGGGGTGGAAGCCCTGAGAGGAAGGGAGGAGAAAAGGATTCTTGCTTCCTCCAAACTCTGCTGCTGCAGTACCCTCTCCATCGGCTAGGGAGGCTGGACAGCAAGGGGAAAAAAATGGTGCTAAAGCTGGGGAAAGGCAAGTATGTTTCTACAAGGAGAGAGACAGCCCCAGACTCAAGAGGACACCCTCCCTCCCCCTTTCTGAAGGCAGGAGGCCAGAAGGCTGAATGCAGAGTATAGAGTCCACGCGGCTAGTCTAGGAGATACCGACCGTGCAGCAGCTGCCCTCTGAAAGCCATACTGCAGTCCAGCAGCAGATGGGAGGGCAGCCAAGGGAGAATGGCCTGACAGCAGCCATTAACAGGAGCAGGCAGAACTGCGTTACCAACGGGTCCAGACAGAATGGGAAGCTGTGCCCTCACCAGCTTTCTAAGAGTAATGGCACACTGGGAGCACTGGAAAGTCAGTGCATGAGAATGAGGAAGGGGACGAACAGCCTCAGTTCTGAGGTGGCTGGGGAGGGGACTAAAAATACACGCTGAGAGCAGATGGCAAAGACAACGTATCTCTCAATGCCAGCTCCACGTATGTATCCTAGTATGAGTGTATGGGACAGAACCTTGCTGATGACACCAGTTCAGTCCTATCACCTTCACAGACTTATAGCCGGTGAGAATCTGGCTTACGTGTCCTTATTACAAAGCCCTTTTGAGGCATGCAGTCTTGCTCCCACCTCCTGTAACAGAACAACCATAAGCTGTCAGGGAAAAGATGAAAAAATAACCCTCGTTCCCACGTGTGTCTCCCACCGCTCTCCCATAATCAGCCTCTCTTCCTCTAGGCCAGAGACATCTAAGGAGCCGCCCTCTTCTCCATTCCCGGGGCCATTCCTACCAGCAACACCCAGCAGATCTAGCCAGGCAGGAATGGCAAGCCCTGCTCCTTCAGCCTCATCACACAGCCAGACCACAGAGGTTTCTTCCTCCCGTGTGACAGCTTCAGGGAGAATTGCCCATACTGGAGATTGTGTTTCAGCAGACTGGACCAGCCTCAGCCCTTACTCCTGAACCCAGCTTGCAAAGGATGAGAAGGTTCCGTAGGAGCAGGACCATGGGCATGGGTGTTCCCCTCTTCCAAGCTCTATAGCCATAAAAACTTCCAGTGTAATCATTATCTGCTCAGAAATACAAAACCCAACCCTATCCAAAACATCTCAGTCTGCCCTACACAATTGGGTCAGCAGAGAAAAAGAAACATGGGGCAAAGTCAGATTGGAGGAAAGGAAAGGACCTCAACGCAAGTCTGCTAAAATCATCACTGGATTTAACCAGCCCAGTTCCACCTTCTTCAGACCAAAATCGACTCGCTGCAGTAAGCGTACTACAGGAGAAAGAAGTGCATGGCTTGGCTTATTTTTTTTGGTAGACACTTAAACATCAGCAGAATTTATGCAGAGATCTTAAAGAGCTGCAGTTTTAGCCTCTTTTCCCTAGCCAATGGGTACCTGTTGGGGCAGAGAGGGTGGAAATGGACCAGTAGCACCAAGAAATTCAGTGGGAGCACCAACTCCACAGCAGGAAATAATAATGAACCAAAAGGAGACAGACAGAGAGAGAGGAGTGGAGGAGACATATTTCGCAGTAATCAAAGTCCACCTTGGCTAAACCCTATCAAGATATCCCTACGTAAGGCCCCATTACGTCTGCAGCAAGACCTCTGGCTCTGACAGAGAGCTGTAGAGGGTATAGCCCAACTCATCCACTTCCTCGGGGGTGAGCTCTGAAAACAAGTTCACCTTGGGGTTCAGAGCACTAGGGAGGACACCTGCCTCCAAGTAGCGGATCAACCCCTTCAGTGCCTGCAAGAAGCGATCAGCCAGCATGTCCTGGGACCAGTCGGACTCCTCTTGGGATAGGTGCAGGATGACATTGGTGAGCTGGCTGGCAGTGAGGTGACCCAGGGCTGGGTTTGACTTGCATACTGCTTTGAAGATCTTCAGGCACAAGCAACGGCAGCCAGAATCACACTGGTCCAGGGCCCGGAGGCGAGCAGTTTCTGCTGGCCGCAGGCTCAGTCGCCACAGGTTGTCATTCTGGGCCAATCGATGGGGTTTGGCCACAAGGATGATGTCACCCAGTGTCAAGGATGGTAGGAAGTCAATAAAAAGATGCCGTTCTGGATCATACTGGACTTCCAGTGTCAAATCTGCTGGGGGAGCTGCTGGACGGATCACATAATCCAAGAGAGTCCCAATTGCGGGCCAGTTGATGGAGCCAGCTACAACTTTCTCAAAGGTGTCTGCTACAGCTTTGGGGGAAAGGTAACCTCCCACCACACAGCGGTCCCAGTAGCTGCTCCCACGGGGAAAGTACTCTGGGTTTTCCCGACGCACCAAGTAGAAGCCAGGAATGTTCATGATAGTGTCCTCCCCGGGAATACACGACCACAGGTTCTGCTCCAGCATCAGAGGCACAATGAGCTGGATGTGGTCAGCTGTCACTACCTTTCACAAGAGAGAAAAATGAGTAAGAACAAGCTTTCTCTCTCCACACTCAGTTTTATTCACCACCTTTAGATAGCCTTCTGCTCAAAGTAACTTGGAATAAGGATGCAGCTGTCTCGCTCTCCTCTGTGTGGGATTCACAGCCTCCCGTTGTCAAGAGACATTCTGAAGGACTATTTCCCATTGTCAGTGGGTAACTCCAAGGTATAACCCAAGCTAGTGCTTATACAGCATGTACTATTTAGAGATCTTTAAATACTTCAGGACCTGACATGGACTGCATATAGACAAATCACTCTGCCTCCTATTGCTCTAAGTCCACTCCTTGAACGTGAGATGCAGCTGGCCCAGAGCACAGCCACACCACATGATAATTTAAAACAGGAGGCAGAGTATTAAGCTTCTAGAAAAGCTTAAGTTGCCATGGTTTAATTATCCCATGCTACAACAAGGTACTGCCCTCACCCTGTCTGTCACATCGTTTGGAAAAAGGTCATTAAAAGATCCCTCTTCACCAATATGATTAAGACCCCAGATCTAAGTTTCACTGGACACTCGACACTCCATTCCAGAGCTCTGACTCAAACAAAAAAGTGTGCCTCTGAATCACTCACTATAGCCATGGGCATCTTGCCATCAGGGAGATATGCAGCAGGGACTGCTGTCCAATCCAGGTCTGTCATGCATTAAAAAACAAAGAGTAGGGAAGACCTACATGAATACACAGGAGTTCTAAGGGAATATTGTGTATTTGGAAGGAGATAGAAGGGATAGAAAAACAAAGATCTACTAGAGAAACAGCAAGACAAACAGCTAAAGCGAGAGACAGAGGGGAAGGGAAGTGAAGGAAAGAAGGGCTGAGATAATCCAGAGAAATAAAACAGCAAAAAGCAAATTCTTTGCTGACAAAGCCAGAGCAGCCTGGTCACGCCTGTTGAAACAGCATTGCAGAAATCAACGCCCGGCTCCACAGTGGGAAAGGCGACACCAAGAGCCTTATTACAGAGGAATGTTGTGCTGAGCCAGCACTGCCAAGAGGGAAGCCTGAAATGCCCCTGCCTAGTCAGCCTTCTGAATAATGACCCATCACGCGGCCCCAGGAATTACCTGCAGATCATCATACAAGCTGCCACTGAGGTACATGTCACGCAGGGGCATGTCCGGCAGCTTGGCACGGAGGAAGCTGCGCAGCTCAGTACAAATATCCACAGCTGCTTGCTTGGCCCGGGCCTGCTCATCCGCTGGGATAGCTACCTTCCTCCGATAATAAGCAAAAAGCTTTTCTTGCAGAGACAGACGAAGGCGGGATTTTTTCAGCTCCACTTGACTCCTCTTGGCAGATGGCTTGGGCTTTGTGGGTCGGAAAAAGTCTGCAAGACAGAAGGAGAACTGTTGACTGTCTGCAGCGTTTCTCTGTGCGTGAACTGATTTGCAGAAGAAAACTTGCAGCACCAAAGTCCAGCCTCCTAGGTCTCAAAAAGCTTTCAGCAGACATTTTGCATGCGTTACACAGGTACCAGTTAACAAGGAGGTGCTGAGAAACTTCAAAAGATACTACTACATGAATCACACCAGATGAAAACAAGTTACTAGATTTGGAATTTAGCCAGAACAAGACTAAGATTGTGTACAAGGAAGTAATTTTAATGACTATGTGGGCAGTACCTCAGTTCGATTTCATCAAAAATTCGGCACCGTTACCAGTTCAGAAGCTTTTAACATCATGCCAGACCAGCAGATAAAACACTCTTGAACAGCCATCACTATCTCTTTAAGTTTTTAGCATTATAATGGACTCTTACAAATTATCAGGAAAACCCGGTCCTGATTAGGGTATGAGATCTGAGAAGCTCATGCCGCTTGGAAATGAAATAGTTGTCAGGACTCTGATCAACACTTACCAGGATGGTGAGCTGATAGATCTTGGGGCCAGCAGAACTCAGGCAATCATAGCCCCAGCAAAAACCTCCCTCAAACTTTCACTGGCCAAGGAACAGAGCACACTCTTAGGCACCTATCGGCAATACGACGCTTTACGCTGCAGCCTGCGTTATTAAACAATGTCTAACCTGCACAGATTCTCAAAGTCTTTTTTTTTCTCACTGGTTTCCTAAAGAAGTCAAAAGAAGTCTGAAAGATAGATGCATTAATATGGACCAAGATTTTCAGATGTTATCAATGAGAATTTAGGAAGAATTACAGGTCTTAGAGATCTTTGGAAGAGCTGTGGTACTTAACAGGTGCAGGAGAAACCCCCCAGGTCAGTGGCCCCATTAAGGCAGTCATCTGTTGCACATTTGTTTGGCAACAGGCATGCAGCACATGCAGAACGGCTGACCAAGCTGCACACAAACCCATCTTGCCCAACCTCAGCAGCTGCTGTCTCTTGTCCCACTGGGGTCTTTTGGACAGATTTGAGGGTTTGTGTGAAAAGGAAATAGCCCACAAAATCACAGGGAACCAGACCTCATTGCTTGTTCATGGAAAAAAAGCAAACTTATTTTTCCATCTTAAGTTTTAATTTATTCTTAAGTCAAGAATGCAAGATGCCATCATCAATGGTCTCATTCCTCAGTCCTCATCTTTGGAGACTCCGATCAAATGATTTAGACCCCATTTAACACAGCTATCTAATTATTTAACATTTCCTCAGCAGAAAATCCATTGCCATCCTTAAGCCGACTTTCTTGCAGATGATCTGGAAGTCAAGTTAAAAACTTGATCCTGATTTTTATTTTAAATCTCCAAGTGTAAATCTCCTGAAGTGACCAGGGATAGAAAGTAAAATCAATGAGAAAAACCAACCAAACACATACAGCAAACACTGACCAACACTAAATTACTCACTACCCCACTCAGAAAGAGGAGTGCAGGTCACTTTTTATAGCCCGATGAAGACTAACTCAGCAATAAGCAGCACTAAACAGGCAAATAGCATTACAGAAGTTATTAGGAAAACAGTAGAAATAACATAGGAAATACTGTTATAAATTGCTAGTACATTCACAATTTGAATATTCCCCTCTTAAAAAGACACAAACAAACTGGAACAAACAAAAGAAAGGCAACAAAGACCTTCAAAGAAATGGAATGGCTTTTCCTGAGGAAAGATTGCACAGGTAAGTATTCATCTTGAAAGAGAAAAGACTGAGGGACAATAAAGCTTTAGACCATGAAGTCATTAGAGGAATGAAGAATGCAAATAGATAACTATTATTCACTAGTTCCCAATGCGACTTCTAATTCTAGGAGTTACCAGCAGACCTGCTCAAAAGAAAAACATCAAAATCTGGGGCTAGGCAGAGTATTCTCTTTCCTGTGTTCCTTTTAATGAATACAGGGTTTATGGGCCTGGATGATTCTGCAATGCAGGAGTATCACCCTGCTCCTTACCTGCGTCTGCAGCCGAAGGATCAGTGGGAAGGGTCTGCAGGGAGCGGCTGAGGTTAGTCTTCATGTCCTGGGTCAGTAAGCGTGAGGAGGAGCCCAGCCAGTTTGGCTCTTCCCAGCTTCTCTTTCCCGACTGGCTCAAGCGAGTAGGGCTGCTGGGAGCACTGATTGCCCGGTCGTACATCTAAAACATCACCAGGCACGGTTTGAGTTGTTAAAAGCCCAACATTTGCATTTTACCCAGCCTAGTGCCAGCATTCCGTGTCTTTTTGTTTCCCACTCCTCCTTTCCAGTGCCCCTGTGCTCAGGTCCCACCCCGCTGTCTTGCATCCTCACCCGTTTGACGGCCAGCGTGGCGATGCCCAGCATAGCGGCTCCACCCACGCCCAGCACAAGCCGGGCGTTGGACAGCACGAAGTCGATGGCTGTGCCGATGCCATTGTCGTCTTTTTTCCCTTTGCGCTGCCCAGCGCCTGCCATCTCACCTGGAAGGAGCAAGAGCATTAAACAGGTCAAAACATGCAGCCCTAATGGTTCACTCCCTTCTCTTCCACCTCACACTCACAGCTCTTGGGGTCTTAGCACAGAGCCATGGTAAGGGACTACCTAACCCTGTCACCTCATTAATTATCTTCCCTCGAGGAGGTGCTTATTCCCAGACACACCAGAACAGTACTGACCAAGCTCTGCAAGGACAGCATTTCTTTGGTTCCAGCTCTGTTTCTGACCTGAAGAAAAAAATCCCAAATTTGATGTGGGGCTTCTAATCATTGAAGCAGGTTTAATTGTGCAATCACCTAATACTTCTTAAAAAAAGAAAGTAAGATTTACTTCAGCAATATTTGGGAAAAAAAATCCTGTATATTATATAAAACTCTATAACCATTCAGGTCTTTTAGTCTGTGTTTCTCAACCAAAGCATGGTGCTTTTTATGCCAATTTATTTTCTTAATTGTTAATCTAATGTGTGTAACTTTGCTCACAGACAAGGCAATGCAGGAATGGTCAACTGCTTGTCCATAACAAATTGGACTCTTCCTAAGACTTGACAAGCACTCTCAGAGCATCCACGCTCAGACTCATTTTCGGACAACGGCTGGTCCCAGATACTTCAAAGACACCCAAGAATCAATAGTAGAGACCACAACGGGAACAGCTCCCTTGCTT